AGAAAAATATTACAGAAGACAATGTGGTATAAGAGGAGTATCTCAAAAAAGATGTATAATAATAATAATGGCTCTAGTATCTTCTCTATGATGACAGTACCTTGGTGTGAGCATAAGGCAGTGAGGAACTTCTCATATCAAATCCAAGGAATATTGACTCAGAACAGTGTATTTAAGAAGCAGCATAATGAAAGAGGTGCTATTTGCGTATACAAAGCTTGGGTGTGTACAGGGAATTTCCAAGGTGTACAGCAAAGGTATTGCTTCAGCAGTTGTGGTACTATGTTTCTTGCATTCTGTGAACACTGTGATTATAATCGATTCTCTTAGCTTGTTATGGAAGAATGAAAGGAAATGTGGAGTGAATGGAGGTTCAGGGATGAGTGTATTAGTTGGACCACAAAAAAAACCCCAAATGATGCTTGCATGCTTTGACACTTGTCTGGCAGGATGCATACCAATGGCTTTTTATTGTCTGAAAACACTTTAGAGGTGTTTAAACCACTTTATTAACAACACAATGTATATTCTATCAGTGTTCAAAAAATACATGCAATATGAATATATTGTCAAGACTTCATTTCTGTGTAGTTAGTGTAAGCAGTTCTTTCTGCTGAAACCAAAAAAAGCTCAATTTCTCTTTATAGCTTTCATACTCCTTCTCCTGATGGAAGTGACTGAAACGCTGAATGACAACTGCTAGTCTCAATTAGTTCCATGATATACACTGTTTGGGAGTCAATTTTGTTACACTTCATCTGAACTTGTGTTAAATTTGTCAGAAGGAAGCAGGGGAGAATCCTGCCTTTGCATACCTAGGCTTGACTTGCACGTTTGCATTACGTTGCAGCTCCTATTGATTTTGCTTAGGATTTTGATAAGCTGTATTTTTATACTTGCAGTACAAAACATATTGGTGGGATGATTATTTTTTTTACATTTTTGGAAAGACTTGATTGAAGGTAGAAGCTGGATTTAGTCAAATGCAGTTGGAATCAAACCATAAATTAAATAATTATTTACAACCTGCTCTGTTAAACTCCCTAAGTTCAGATAAACAGGAAAGTAATAGGGTTGACAAGCACATTTGATTGTTGCACAGCTACACCTTTTTTTTTTTTAATTTTTACCTGTCTCTTGTACCTGTCATTACAACCTCTTGCTTCTGTGAGTGCATGCATAGCTTCTTTCTTATCTCACTAATTTAGTGATACTGGACCAGTGGGAGACAGTCTATGTGTGGATGCTAAACTTCAAACAAAATAAGAGCATGTTTTTTACAATACTGTTGAAATAGAACTGATTGAGATCGAAGGTCAGAATGCCTAGCATTTGAATAAATGTATATATACATGTGTATCTTTTTGTCGTGTTCAGTTACACATTTTCACAATGGTCATTTTAAGAAATTTTTAAAAAACAGCAACTTTTTAGCTCTGATATTGCATTCTGTAGTAATTTTATCCTCTTTTATTGGAGTTCAACTTTCCTTTTTTTTTTCACTTGGTTTAATTTCTGTTTTTCTTTTAATGTGATTCCTGTGTGATCTGTATCATTGCTGCAGAGGTTAGATGTATAGTCATTAATTGCCTTGATCTTTTACCTTTTTTCTTGATACTAAGAAGGCTGCCTATTTAAGTGACCAAATAAACAGTTCATTCCTGTCTTTCCTTGGATAAAACTGAGACATTCTACCAGGATTTGCTGCACCAGTTCTAATGTTCTGTAGACTCCTTGAAAATAGTTAATTAAAAATACTTCAGAAGTTCAGGAGTTAAATTCACATACTAGTGCTTGGCAATAGACTACTTAGATTTTTTAAGAGGTCAGATACATAAAGTTAGGGTGATTTGAGATACCATTAAACAGACACAGTGTTACAGCTGAATTAAAGTTCGGTGTCAAGAGTATACACAGTAATACTTGTTACTTGTCTACAAGTATGTTCCTCTTGTCTGTTGCTGTTTGTAAACATGATCAGATGTGTCATCTCCACTGAACAGAAGGGTTGATCTGAAACGTTCAACTGTAAAAAATGAAATGTCCACTCTGCATGTTTTTTAAGCCTCATCAGCCTTCGGTTGTCTCTGAGACCTCATGGATTTTGTTTTGGTATTAATAGTTTTGAAGAGGATTTATGTAGATAAATATAATTTTTTATAATGCTTTTTTCCTCCCCCTTTTTTTAAAAAAAAATGTGGATTGCATTTACTTACCTGGCGCTATTTGTCACTTTTTAATCTGCCCTGTTAATTAATGTTTAATAAACCTGACAGTCCTCTACAAAATAAATGAGGTTTTGAACCGCACCTTTGCTATTTATTTTAAGCTGTTTAGAGGTGCTTCTTACCATGGTAGCTGACAATTTAAAGTAAGTTAGTGTCATTGTAATACTTTTGAGGTACAAATTGATCACATCTTCCAAATGGAAAACAGAAAAACAGGGATATAAAGATTTATGTAGCACAAACATTTATTTTTAGTGTTGTACTCACATTTTATGAAATGTATCAGTATTATATTATACTTGGTTTTCGAATGAGAAAACCTAAGTACTTGTGCAAAACAGGGATTGGTTATTTTCCCCGCCAGACTATTTTATGCCTTTTCTCTAGCACCAATACTTAGCTAACCTGACAGAAGTCATGAGGTTTAGGTGGTTGGAAAAAATCTAGGTAACATGACGTTCAGTCCACAGCCATATGCACAGACATTGTAGACGTGCTGCTCATGTCACAGCGTTTAGAACCTTTGTTTGCTCTACTGATATTCCCAGTTAGGTGTCAAGACAAGAACATAATTTTAATGGCCATTGCTCATTCAGTAAGGTGAGGTTTGCCCAGTCTTCCCTCAGCCTTTCTTACAAGTCCTCCTAAATGCTTTCGTTCCACTTCTGTGCTGTTTCTCAGACTTCCTTAAGTGAAATAGAAAGCAATCATTATGGTGATATTAGGGTCCAATATACATTTCAGGGTACTTAATTCTTTACCTTCCTCTGTTTTAGGTTTACTTTTTTTTTTAAGTCAGACTGGCAAAACACAGATCAACTTTGCACAAATGTATCTATGAGATAAGTTATCTTTGGAAAGCCACACTGAAATCACCACCACTCCGCAGGGACTCATGAATCTTGTTTTGGATCATGATGCAAGGTTTAATTCTGAAAGTATATGGATGTGCACATCAGTTAAGGCACTGCAGAGTGTTTTCTTGCACTTATGTGAAGTTTGAAAGCACTCAAAATAGTAAAACGTTATGATAAAGAAGAAGATTAAATTAGGTGAAAAATTTTGGGAAAACTCTCAAAAAGAGAAGTACCTACTGGAAGCAGCTCTAAAGATGCAATTAATGTCTCTTGCAGGCAACCTTAAAAATTATTCTGAATTGACTGGGGATATTTCAGTAGAAAGAGGACCTTCAGAAGTGCGCTTAGTGCCCTTGGGTGTGCAAAACTGCAGGAGGGTTGACACAAAAGTGAAAGATGTTTCTTCAGTTGTCTTCAAAGATATCTCTGTGAGAGCTGTTTCTGACTGGTAGAAGGCCATCAAAGAAGGGAGAGATTTGCTATGTTTTGTGTGCTTTGTGTGAATCTAGTTAGGGAATAGTATGGATAATTTCTTGGCCTGAGTCTCTCACTTACTGATGCTAGGTTGATAGCATGCCCTGGAGTCATACAAAAGAAATGCAGTTCTTGGGGGAATCCAAGTTCTCTGTGCCGACTTTGAGAACTCCACAAAAACTGACTTTGGACACAGAAGTCTATGATTAGGCAGTGAAACTGTAAAACAGTGTCACAAGGGAGTTTCTGTTCACTTAAGGCACTTTTAAAAACAGACTTGGCTGCCCATCATGAACGTGTCACTGAACTGGCAGGGAGACAACTACATTTCTTAATAGTTTCTTCTTCCTCTGATTTCTATTTCTAGTCCAGAAAGTAGACAAAAAGGATATAAGTGAGCTAAAAGTGCATAACTTCAGCTCAATGGTCATACCAAAACAAGGAAAGCGTGACAGTTAAATTTCTTTGATGAATGTCTTCCTGTTGTTACAACAAATGTTGATGCACTTCAATATTTTCTTGCTTTTATAGTTATTTGCGTATTTTCCAGTGAGAAGGCCTTTTGTTTTCTGTAAGATGCTGTTATCCCAAGTGTTAATGGGTTTCCAGCTATTGAGATGTAATCATATACCTTAAGTATTTAACTATAAATTTGAGAAATCTTTGTAAGAAATCTCAAAGGAATAGTTGGAATGCACTCATAGTAAATTGGCTCATTTTCTTGTAATTTACTTGAAGTGGTGATATGAAAGCGGTTGTAATGTAAAAGTATATTAATCCATGGAGATGCCTTATGTAGGGAATTCATTACTTTAAAATTTTAAGACATAAGACGCGATTTAGGCTGACTTGTTACTTAGAATCACAGTAGAAAAATGATCATTATCTTTTGAGTAATATATTTGCAATAAACACAGCAACCTTAAACCCAAACAGTGCAGTAATAAATTAAATCAGATGTGTCTTTTCTAAAGGATTATCGTGGCTGAAAAGAGTAAACAGGAGGCCTATAGTAAAGTGTGTTTTCTTTCAGTTTATAAGAGCTGTCCAGAAATATTATCACTTGAGGTCTCTGAAGAATAAAGCCAGCGGTTCTTGACATCAAAGTCTGAAGCAACTAGCTCAGTGCTATTCTGTGGAAACGCAAACACCCTTTGGCTGCACTATTTTTAATAAAGGCAGCTGGACTTGAAATAACTTTCAGATTTAGTGCATTTCAGAAATGGTTGTGTGGTTGTCTGATTTTTTTTTTTTTTTTCCCCCCTAGAATGTGAGAAGTGGAGGAACTGTGATTTGTTTCAATACTGTATTATTAATGAAAATTATTTTTGGCACCGTGAGACTGAATATCCTGGCTCTTTATGTACAAAATCATACGTACGTACATCATATGTACGAAATGTCTAAGACTTTGTGAAACTGTTGCCCAGTGCACTGAAACATGGAGGCACAGCTAGACCCCATGAAGGATGACTTGCCCTTAATGGCCAACACTAGCTACATGCTTGTAAAGCACTATGTGTTGGACTTGGATGTGGATTTTGAAAGCAAAGTTATTGAAGGCAGCATAGTTTTATTCTTTGAGACTGGGAGCCGGTACAGGAGAACCAGCAGTACTGGTGAAGAGGGCTGCCAGTCACAGTTTAAGGAAACGTGTAAAATGAGGGCATCTGAACCATGCCACATTCCTGTGACAAACGTGGGAGCCTGTTCATCCAAAATGGAATGTAATGATTTTGCTGTTTGTGGTAAAGGTGAAGAAGATACTTCTGAAAAAAATGGTAACCGTGGCAACAAGGAACAGACTGATGGGATTTCTATTTCAAAGGATGACATAGAGAATCATGGGAACAAGGATTTTCTACTGATATTGGACTGCTGTGATTTGTCTGTGCTAAAGGTTGAGGAGGTAGATGTTGCTGCCGTGTCAGGCATTGAAAAATTCACAAGGCCTGCTGAGCTAACTGATGTTCCAAAGGAGCTGGAAAATCTCAGGAATCAGATTGTGCGCGAACTAGTGACTTTACCGTCAGATCGCTGGAAAGAACAGCTATATTATTTAACTTGCTGCAGCCAGGCGCCTGGCTGTGGAGACCTTCTGTTTACTACTGGCACTTGGAGCTTGGAGATAAGGAAATCAGGAATTCAGACTCCAGCAGACTTTCCTCATGCAATAAGAATATGGTACAAAACCAAACCAGAAGGCAGATCTGTTACATGGACTACAGACCAGAGTGGCAGGTATGTAACTATTAGCTGAACACTTTGCATGCATTATTTTTAAACGTAGGTGCAAGAGTGTAGAGTCGTGTAATGGTGAGCAGCTGTGAAGATGATGAGCATCCTGTTCTGTTGTTCTCATTTCACGCCTGGTTCAAATCCTGTGGCTGATCTCTAAGAGAACAGACAAACTATCTTCTCAAGAAAACCCAATGAACTTGCAGACCTCAGGCCTGTCTTAAGTGATTGCATTTGCTCATTCTAAAAGTGGGATTCATAAATTGTTGTGTATTGAAGTAAGTATGTGCAGGAAAACGTTATTTGATCATTCAGGGGAAGAGAAGGTATGCATAACAGGTTATTTTCACTTAATACTGTATGTTCTTTTTCCTTCCTGGCTTACACAACTGATCATACGTCATAAAGGTCAGTATACATAGTATTTAATATAATTGCTTAACAACTAGTCTTTTATAAATATTGCAATAAGTTTAGAGATGCAGTCTTTTCCTGTTTAGTCTTTCACAATCAACTTTTTAAAATCTCCTTCATCTATGATGTAAAGTATGTTGATAATAGCAAACGAACTGCAATAAACTACAGAAATCTTCAAGATAAGTTGTTTATAGGAGGGAAAGTACAGGCTGCTCTTGACTTCTACAGCGGTAATTGTTTTCCTGTAATGTTCGAAGATAGATTTTAATGGACATCGGTTCTTTATGATCCCTAAAAAACAGAAGCAAAGTTTATTCTTACTTCAGAGACATTTCATGGCATTTGTACACAAACACATGGAATTTTGTGAATCGATAATGAATCGGGAAAGATGGCTTGACATGTGTCAGGCACTCTGATGGTAGCAAATAGTCTCAAGCTGGTTTATTTTCAGTTTATTTCCAGAAACTAGTGCCTATCAGAAAATAAGTTTTTGTATCACAGTCATTAGAATCTTTCTTGCTACATTTTAAAGTAAAATTCTGATTGTGATGAACCCATAAATAGAGGTAAAGCTCATTGTACAAAATGTTGTCATGTTTTTCCTTCCCTTTCTAAAAATAAAGCCCATTTATAATGTATGGGGGAAGTACTATTAAACTGTATTCTCACAGGGTATGCACATCATGCTTTTTTAGGCAGATGTCAAATCCTTTCCCAGAGGAGTCTATAATCTGTGGTTCTAACCCTGAAGAAAAGTGAAGCGAGTAACAATCATTGTGTGGTCAATTCATATGTTTCCTCCAATTTAACACTAGTACAATGTTTTGAAATTTAACCTATGTACTATTTTATAAAGGCTTATGTTATATTTGTTTTAAACAATGATGTATTATAATACACACAGAGAAAAATCTGTTAAAACAAAGCTTTGTGGGATGCGTTTAGGCAAACTGAAATATGTATATGCAAACCTGATGTTAACACAGTGGGCGCTCTTCTGTTTTCAGTAGAGGAACTGAACATGTGGAATTTCAACATTTCCCTGTTTGGGCTTTTGATACTGGAAAGTACATTAATGATCAACAGGAAGGGTTTTCTTTGGCCTCAAAAGTTGTTTTTTTTTTTTTTTTTTAAATTATGTGCTTTTTGGCACCTTTCTCTGGAAATACTGAAAAGGAGGCAAAGTAAAGGAATAGAGTATGTGTGTGAGTCTATGTAGGTATGCACGTAGATATACACCTGTGTATAAATATACACACTTTTTTGTCTCTCGAAAAGTTATACTTACAAGGACGATATCAGTTCTTAAAATTGGCAGGTAATCTTTAGCAGTGATTAATAATTATTAAAATGTGGGGAAAAATATTTATTATAATGTTTGTAATATGTTTGTCTTGAACAAAGAACAGTTCTGTTTCAGAAGTTTTAGATTGTTTGCTAGCCCAATACACTAGTGGGGTTTCAAACTAAAGGTAATGTTGCAATTGTGATAAAATTATACTTTTATTTGAATTATACTTACTAATATAAACTATTATGGAATTATTTAAAATAAAAATGTATTTTAGACACCACAACAACCACTGTGTGGAAGAAATGGTGTGTATAAAACATCTTTCATCACTGGGAAGGAGAAACTTTTTGTCAGCTTGTCAAGGTGTTCAAGCAGTTTTGTCTGACTCTCAGGAGTATGTAGCAGTGTTGAGTTAGCATGACTACCAGTGTATTTTGAATTAAATGCTTTCTCGTGATCATTGCTAAGAATCCTTATTTGTTCAGATATTCTAGGATCCCACATATTTAAAAAAAAAAAAAAGGATTAAACACCTTTGGGTTAAAATTAAAGAGGTAATTTTACGAGCAGACTGCCTTGTGAATTCACCTCTAATAGGAGATTCCTCCTACCTTTTTTTTCTGCCCTACTTATTCCCACTTCTAGTGCTGTCATAAATTAGTTAATGTTTTTGTTGGTACTAATGAGAAACTGGAATGGAGCTCATTCCTCATTATGGGATTAGGAGTGAAAGAGTACCTTTGATATGAACAACATCAATGAAAGACATTCTGTGACACTGAAACCTTTCAGTAGCAGGTCCTAATCCTGTAGCTACCTTTGCATTATTTACCTTGGCGTACATGAATAGGTACATGAATTGGTCAGGCACATGCATTTATTTTTTCAGGTTGAGTCTTAGATATCACATATACAAAAAGGAGAAAATCTGGGAAGGAGATGGCTTGAATTATTCTGTACGTGTAATTTTCATGAGATTACTATGGAAAATGTATATGTTTAGAAGCTATTAAAGGATGATTGAGTAGTTTCGGGAAAACAGTCTTTAAAGAGTTAACCTTATGCTAATTTTCCAAAGTGAGAAATATTGGAAAATGTGAAATGATCTCCTTAAAAGAAATATTATGATATCCCTGTATTTATCTGATCAACTTAAATATTTTACCTTTTAAAAATATTTTGTACCTGTTTAGTTGATTATGATACCTTATTATTAGATTAATATATTAATATATTTTTAAAGAGTTAAGAAAATATTTTTGTCTTTATGAAAGTTATGAAGGTGAATAAAGCAAGCATAAATGTGCGATTTGGTAGAAGTGCTAACGCTAGCGTATGTTCTGTAATTAAATGTTTCTTACCAGATGCAGTGTTCAGTTATATCACAGACATCACTGAGCTGCACATTTCCTCATTTGTTATAAATACTCTTGCATTTCTCTAACATACAACTGAAGCACCTGAGTAGTGAGTAGAAGAATATTCAGAGAGGTGATACCTAATGTAGCAATAAAACACACCTTGGTTTCCTGTTCAATTTGATGTTACTGATTCTACTGAAACAGGAAAGAGCTAGTGGAGCAGTTATTGTGGTTTGTTTTGTCGACTTGTGTCAGGAGTTCATGTCAGACTAGTTATCACTGACATGGAGACTGGCACAATTCCTCATTATTTTTTGTCTGTAGATAAAAAAGAGAGATTATACTTTTTTTTTTGAAACTGATTGTTTCAAGCTCACCTCTCCTTAAGACATATATGTTTTGAAACAACTTACTCAAAGACAGTAGTTGCAATTGTTCAGATGTATTGATGACAAGAGCTGTTCATAAATGTGTGTACTTCTGAGCATAAGCTGTTAAAATGTCTGACACTAGTTAGAATGCGTTATGTAGTATGTTACATACAGTAAGGACTAACTAAAAACTGTATAAAACTACCCATAACAACACTGAATTCTTCCTATTTTTTTTTACTATTTTAACATTTTCTTCACAATTGATTATCCTTTTTGTAAAGGATTGAAATTTTCATAAATGTTCTAAATGAGTTTTTTTTATAAATATTCAGGGTAGTGGAAATATACTAAACATGTTTTTCGAATATTTAGCTAAAGCTTGAAGTTGGAAACGAATTCTTGAACAGTGATCTCGAATTTCCAGGAGGTTGCCCATAGCAGACCGTGCTTAAGAACTTTCTATATATGGAAATGTAACCTAGAAAAAATGTTTTGCATGGTTGTAAGCACTATGTGTCTAGTGTCATTAACAATGACTTTTACTAAAAATTAAGAAGTGGAGTTTAATACATTTAATTATGTGTGATTTCCTTAAGTTTCAAAACAATTTGCAAGAATCATGAAGTGGTTTTGTTTTATCTAGAGACTGCTGGAGAAGCAAAAGGTCATCATTTAATTTGTGGAAGGATTGCTTTCCAAATACAAGTCTTCAATATTTTGAATTAGAATAATTTAAGTCTATCATCTTTTATGTCCTAGAGGTCAAATGGCCATCTAAAGGATGCAAAATTGTCCTTTGAGTCCTTAGTGATTGGTACCTGAGAAAGAAAAACTGCACTGGGCTACGGTGAGCCAGCAATTTGCAATGGATATTGTCTGGGTATTGGCTACAAGCCTTTCCCTAATCATACTTAATTATTTTGGCATTTTAGGCAATACCTAGAACATGTGGGTGGCGGTGAACAAATATTTCTAAAAAATATAAAATATCTTGTCTGAATTAGTTGTCCTAAGTGAAAAGGAGGACTGTGAGAAATGAGGTCTTTTCTGGTGAACTTAATATGCTTTCAGGGTTACAGCAAATTTCATGGCCTGGCAGGGTAAATGATACTCAGATGTAGGTGGCTTAAGTAGATGCCTATGACACAGGACAGAGGAAGGAAGTGCTTGGCACTCCCAGAGGCCATGCATACCAGAGTACAAGTTGCTGATAACTCCTTCAGAAAAAAGGATGCAAAAGGCAAGTTGCTTGACTAAAATCTGCCAATGAGAGGACCGTACTAGATCAGAGGAAGCTGAGAATGAAGTAGAATTCCACAGTAACATCCAAAATATTCCAATAGTACACCAGGATCTATATAAACAATAGAAGTCTAAGTGTTTTAATTTTCAAATCTAAAAGGGAGCTGAAAACACAAAAGATCAAAGAAATGTTATGGCAAATGAAGAATCAAACCAGCACTTCCATGTTTGTGAATTGGCTGGCCAAGAAACCAAAGGACCTTTGATTTCAGAAGAAAACTGAGAAAGTCCAGCTGTATCATAGTTCATATC